GAGGTGGCTCACTTGGTGGGAAGAGAAGCCGGAGACAACCTTCCTGCTTCTGGGCAGCTCTGAGGCCTGTCCCCCCTGCCACCCTCACACCGGATGCTGAAAGGGGAACAATGACCCTGCTAGTCTGGCCACCAGAGGGAGGGGACCTTACAAGGGCCCAAACACCACTTAACAAGGGCCCAGACTGATGCTGGATCCCAGACCTATGGCCCTATTTCTGCTGGAGACACCAACTCCCTAATCCGGGTGGCTGTGTGGGGGCCCTGGTGGATGCTGCCCATGGCACATACGTACCTTCTCTGCCCCCATGCTGGGGCACTTCCAATTATAAAGATAATACTGCAGGTTGCCGTCCCCTATGCCAAACTTGAGCTTCTCCAGGAAGGTTTTGTTCTCCATGAGATCCAGTGCATTGAACACGTCAAACCCTTTCTGCGTGGCGGCAGGGAGAAACAAGAACAGGTCAAGCAAGGTAAATGCTGCCTCACCTTCTGCCCTTTTCTATTACATCAAAACCATCGCAAAGCAGCCATGAGAGCAATCTTCCTTTAGAAGTTCTGGCTGTCTCCATGTTAATTCAAACTCCAGCCAGCGCCCTGCTCTCCAGTGGCGGTTCTCACGACACTCTGAGGACCACCCTAGCTGGCCTCTCCTCAGTGTCCAGGTCACTGCAATTAACAACTGTTCTTTGTTAAGCCTCTCTGAAACACTCCAGTAATTTCCACAGTCCTCTTTGGAGACCAAGCCCTGAACCCCTTCCCCTGAGGAACTGGCTTCTATCAGCTACTTGGCGTCTGCACTGCTCCCTTACTCCCCAGACACCCCAACTCCTAGGCCTTTGGTGTGCACCCTGTGACTTTATGGCACCTCATAAGCTGCTTTGAGACTGCGACAAAGACAGTTCCCAAATCTCACCAACTCGGTGAGAAGCTCTCACAGGGCAGGGACTGGACTATCCATCATTTGGCCGGCCCACGGTGGGCTGGGCCCAGTACCGGCAGAACCCATGATGAAGAACTGAGTGACGATGACCTCACCGGGTGTAAAAGAAGGCCGGGCCCCTCCCCTTGTGCTGTACAGTTAGCCACTCCAATGACTCACCACGACAGAGACCAATCTCCCCATTCCCATGCTGGAGAAGTTGTAAGGAGAACCCCTCTACTCCCCGAGCAGGCCTGGCTATTCAGCCTCCTCGGCAGCGCCTCCTGAGAGAACGAAACTCACTGAAATAAATCAGGAGTTCCATGCCTTCCCTTGCTCCTGCCTAGTTTTGAGCTGCTGGGCCCCTTCCAAAGCAGAGCAGGAGGGCGAGGAGGGCTCAAAGCCCCCAACCTGGGGGCAGCTACTCCCATGAGCTGTGCTCACCACTGCTCCACCGCCTCTTCCCCACAGATCTCCAGACCCTCCGGGCTGCTCCTCACCATTTTGGCGAGAACAAGGGCGTCGCTCATAAGATCTAGAAGAGGGGTCTGGGTGTGAACGTTGTAGAAAGAATAAGCAGCCTTTAGACTCTTGTGAGTTGGATGGTTCATGATGGTGGAGGGAAGCGTATAAAAGCTCAGGAAATCTGTCACCTCACCGTTTGCATTCTGAAGGGAAAACAATAAAAAGAGGCAATGTCACGTGTGCACGGGGATCCTGCAGTCTGGGAACAAAGTTTCCTATTGCTCCCACATCACCCTTAGGCAGCTCTGCCCCTCTGGATGAATGGATGGAAACCGAAACAGGATATGCAGGGAGGAGAAAATACATTGGCCACGGGCACTTGAGGACAGAGCCAGGAGGAAAATCCAAGCCGGACTGTGGGCTGAACCTGCCGAGCTCTCGTTTTCTGCCTGCCAGGGCTCTCTTGCGGCTCACATTCCCCCAGACTGTGTCCTCAATGCCGGGCCAGCACTACCTCAAGCAGGGAGAAGCAGGGAATGGAAGTCTCACCTGACGAGGAGGGGCTCAGTGCTCTTTACTCTGTGTTACCAACAGGGACTGGGGGTGGGGAGGGGAGAGGAAGGGGCAAGAAGGGCTCATGCCAAGTCCAGAGGGTATCATTTTAGCAAGCACAAGCTACAACTTCCTGTCTCTAGGGAGGACCAAGCATGGACGTCAAGAAGTCCAGGGTGCCAACACTCCTGTCAATTGGTTCTTCAGTCACCAAGCCTGGGAAACCTAGCGACTTAAGGAGGATGCCTCTCTGCGAATGGGTCAGAGGCCCAGAGCAGCCCTCTCCACTCACCTCTACCACAAAAGTGTCGATGATATTCTCCTGGGGGTAGAACCAGTGCTCCACTTCCTCCTGGCTCATGACTGGCGTGAGGTGGAACTGCTTCAGGTACCTAGTGAGAAGCTGGTGCACTACTGGAATGTCCTTTTTTTCCATTGGTCGCAGCCCAGCTGTCTTGGGAGTCTGGAGGGCAGAGACGAGACAGCATCAGATGTGCTGACCATGAGCATCTTGGCTCCCTCTCAGGTCCTACAGGCACCAAAAACTTCACGTTGTCTCCTTTCCTACCTCAACCCTGGATCTATCCACCCAGGCCCTCAAGAGAGAATCCTTGGTCACCCTTGGCAACTCCCTCTCACCCACTGTCCATATCCACTCAGGCACAAGTCCTGCCTCTTCAGTGTCTTTGGCCCTTTCCCTCCTAGTTAAGGCTCTCTGTCGTCCTTGGCTAGGGCTGTTGCTTCAATCTCTTATCCACATGGCCCAAGCTGCCTTCCTAGGAAAACACAACCCATCATGCGCCTCCCTTGTTCCAAACTCTCTGCCACAGAACACAAGACCTTCTACGCTCTGGACCAGCTGGCTCTTCTGACTGTGCCTTCTGTCCCTCTAGCCCAGTGGCTCTCAACGGGGGCAATTTTGCCTCCCCCCACCCCGAGGACATCTAACAAAACTTGGGAGACATTTCTGGTTGTCACAGCTAGGAGGAGGCATGCTACTGGCATCTAGTGGGTACAAGCCAGGGATGCTGCTAAACATCCTATAACGCCCAGGACAACCCCCTAAAACAAAGAATTACCCAGCCCAAAATGTTAATGGTGCCGTAATGGAGAGAAAAACCCTGACTACTCCATGAATGTTCTGGGGAAGGCCCAGCCCAGTACTACTCCTGGGCCTCAGCAAAGCCTTTCTTGGCCCCTTTCCTCCAAGCCCTCACAACCTTCTCCCACTGAACTGCAGCTGATCTCTTCCTACACTGGTCTCTTTCCCATAGATGTAGAGCACTTCACAGACAGGTTCCCAGCCATTGGCATTGGGGAACCCCAGGACCCAGGAGAGTCTGCACTGGATGCCCACTTTGTCTGTCCACTCGGACACCACTGCCATCAGTAATGCCCCCAGCAGGACACTGCTGAAAGTTAAATTCAGGAGCACCGAACCCCTGGGATTTAATTTCAAACCAGAATCCCACTCCACAGCTGCTTTTTCTTAAAAAATGCTTCAGCAGAACGAAGCCATGTGATGCTCTAGAGTAAATACTGGGGCTGACAGGACATCCCCAAAGGCTCAATACACAAAGGTGGGGTCAGCAAATCTGAAGAGAGGGTGGACTTACAGTGTATATACCACAGTCGTTGCCTGATACAGAGTGGGAACTGCTTTGAAAACAACAGTTCCAGGACCTCTAGCTGCCAAAGTTCCTTGCTAATGCTGACGCCTCTAGGGAACGCTTACTGACCTCATTTCTACGTGGCAGCTCCCACAACAACACCTCAAATCCTAGACTGAGAAAGCAGCCAGGCTGGGGTTCTCACCCGCGGGTGGGGAGATCCAGAGACATTCTTCTGGCTGCTACACCACTTAAGAACACTCTCTGTCTGCCTATAACTTGGGGCAAATCTGTCATAATAACAGAAAGGAGAAGACACCCATCACGGCCCCCCAAATCTGGTTCTTTGGGCAGTGTCTAACTGCGCTGCAGCGGTCTTTCAAAACGGGACACTAATGACCCCAATCCAGTGGTGGATTAGCCCAATTCCAGGGCGATTAATCCAGTTTCATGGCAGACGAGTCCAGGTGGGCAGCCCTCTGATCAGCAGGCACCCGATAACTGTGCTGACACCGATAACTGTGCTGACACCGACCACAAGAGCCCTGAGTGAAGAGAAGCGATTTTAAGATCCATGAGGACCCTGAACCAGGCACAACTGGAGAACAAGGAGCATTTGTTTTGTTGGGAAACTAAGCAAACTGGGACCCAGAATAGAAAACCAGCTCACTCCAGGTTGCCCAGTCCTTCAATGGCAAAACCTGGATGGAGGGAACTGGAGTTAGAAATCTGGGCTTCCGTCACCAGCTCAGGTTACCCCTCCATCACCTGACTGGGCAGAGGGAGCAGGAGACACTCTACAGCTCAGTGACACTGGGCTCTGGGGTGTGCCATAGTGCAATGAGTGGGTTCATCTATTTATGCGTCACTCAGGCTAAAATTACACAAAACAGGTAATCCAAGCTTATCAACAAATGACGGAGACGCTAACTCAGGTGCAGGCACAGGAGAACTGAGAAAGTCAAATTAAAACAAAACTCTTGCTGTAGATAACAGAAAGAACAGAAACGGAAAGTCTCGGAATCCGGAAACATCAGGTTGGGTCACTTTTCTGCCTCCCCCTCCCCCCACCCAAAGCCTTGCTCCTTTCCTCTGAGGACCAGGCTCTCCTCAGCCTCTCTCTTGCCCCTGCCCATCGCCCGAGAGCACCACTGGCCTCTGGTAGTCGGTAGAGCTTCATGGTACGCTGCATGGTCATATTTCTGCTCAGGTGGGAGAACTTCACCTCAATCAGCTTCCGTGGGTTTAGGGACCGATGCCAGTACCTGTGGGGACACAAATGTCCTGTCCTCAGAGGATTCTGGCAAGTTCCATTAAGAGGATGATGGGATGGAGATCTCCAGATGGCCAGCAGGTGGCGTGAGAGACACGTGGCCCCACTTGAGCCAGTGGCGTCTCCCCGCTCCCCAACCTCCCGCTAGTGAATGCAGAGCTGCCACAGCTCTTCCTATATTTTCTGTCTCAATTTCAAAAGCCACTCATCTGTTACAGTAGTTGTCTGGGAAGAGCAATCCTCACTCCTGGAATCAAGTGAATAGAAGACTTATAGTTCTCTGACTGTTCATCCTTGTCCTCCCTCCTCTATGCATTTGCCTGGTGCTTTGACTTCTGAAGTTCTTGAGGCAGAGACTGTTCAATTGTTTCAAACAACTTTCGGAGGCAGAAGTTGTCCTTGGGTCACAGAGGGATCAGACATGCTCTCTTTGACCCAGACAATATTCAAAACAAAATTGAGCCAACCATTTAAAACTTTCGGATATTTACTGTAAAAATCCAGATTTGGGCTCATCTTTAAAAACTAAAACAAAACCCCAGCAGACTGACACCCCTCACCTCCTATTTCCAAATAGCAGGAATCAGCAGGAGCTGAGAATGGCTAACCCCTTTGGACAGGGCACGCCCTTTCCAGTCTGCCATTCCTACAACCTCCCTCTCCCCACCTCCATGCTCCCTACCTGGCTCCTGCAGGCACCCAGCACCCATCTTATCAGACACTAGAGAAGCAAGATGCTCTCGGGCACGCACTGAGCTGAGGGGCAGAGCTGTGACTCACAGTGACACAACTCAACTAGAGCAGGCACGCCAGTATTTCTAGGATCTCGCAAGAGATTTTTACCTGCAAGTACCAACAGGCTTTGGTAATACCACCCCGGCAGTGTACACAGCTTGGAAAATGCCCTCCAAGTGAACCCGCCGGGTTATCTCTCGGATCAGGACTGGAGCCACCCTCTTAGAGCGCAGCTTCTTGTGGACACATAGGAAGTTGATCTCCACCATCTTCTTCTCTCTAGAGAGGGGAAAAAAATCCAGTGACAAGGCTTTTAACAGGGAAGGTGATCCCTTCAATGGCGCCACCCCTGGGGGACCAGGGCCTTCAGCACAGGACACATTCTGCCACCGCCTGCGTTCAGGAGTCAGTCCTTGGATTCCCTCCCACTGCTCTGCTGCACCAGGCCGGGAGCCCACTCTCTCAACACAGGCGCTACTTCCAGAGCTAAGTGGGACTCAAGCAAACTCCTTTACTGAAGGCACCACCAGCATCTCCCTGATGAATCCCCAGTAGCAGGCAGGGACCTCACAGAGTAAGTCAAGGGTTCTTCTAGGATTTCAAGGGTTCTGACTCCCACAAGTATCCGTGGCCTATCAGCCCAGAAGGCTGTGGTAGATGGATCTGATGTTTCCAGGGAAAATGAAGAGCAGAGCTTGAAGGCTCTGTGACCATTTGGATGTGAGTCACACTGGCTCCAGTGCCAGTGCCAACACTGAGCTCCTGTTCAGGAAGCACACTGGCACCCAGGGTTGGACCCCTTCCAGCTCAGGCCACAGACAAGAGAAGCAGCAACAACTCAGAGCAAAACAGGTGGTTCCTGTTATGAATTTCTATTCCCAGGACCCGAGATCCCTCCCTTCATGGAACCCTCCCTCTTTCTTTTGTGGAAGGTGTGTGTACCTTTCTTCTTCACCTCCCTCCCAGACCGAGCAGGATGGTGGGGACGTGGCGGGTGAGGGGTGGTGCTGGTGCTTACGTGTCATAGATGTGGATGTTTGCTGGAATGGCACTAATGAACCCAACCAGTTTCCGACTTGAGACCACTCGAACCCCGCAGTGCCACTGGGGGAGCCAGCCAGGTGGCCGGAGAGCCCTAGAGGAGAGACAGGGGCTGTGGCTGCGGCGCTGCTTGCCAGCGGGCTCCACAGCTGGGTCTGGCTCTAACCCCATGCTACCACCTCACTGGGAGTTAACAGCTAAATTCTCTTCAGAGCCAAGCCCTCCTGGACACAAATGGGATGGAGCCGTAGCCCCTTCTTGCTGCTCAGCCCACTTGGCCTACTTACTCACCCAATCCAAAGCTCATACTGAGGAGTTCATGCCCGATCCAATTTCATTGTGCTCACTCACTCTGACAACCAGAGGACTGGCCTCCTTGGCTCCGAGTCCAGTGGGTCCCGTGGTTGGGAGCCGATTGTGGAGCCCCTGGAGCTCTGGTCTCCATCTGCCCTTTGGGTACCATCACTTCCCTCTTTCAGCTTTCTACCCATTCGTCCTTTCCCCCTCCATTTCAGCCTCATGTCTCCACCTTCCTGGATATTAAACGTGACCCAGGAGGGTGGATGGCTCAGCCAGGCAAGGCCATTTTCATACACCTGAGCATGCTCAGGAACCGGATAGAAAACGATCCTCCTTTTCCTTTCAATCTTAGTAGGCGTCATCCCTCCTTCCCTTCTTTATAAAGTCACCATACAACAGATGCTTTTTTCTTCTGGGTACCAATTCCACAAAGGTCTCCCTCATCTAGTCATTCTACCTTAAATAAGGTTTTGATTCTAAGCTCCCCTGGAAGCAAGCCTCCTTCAGACGTAGGAACTCAAAAATTGCACACTAATTTTTCATCAAAGGTTAGCTCTTAGCAGGGATGAAAAATCTGGCACCCTATGGTTGTTCCACTCTATGCCTTGCCCCAGAACCATAAGAAAGCCCTTACAACTCACCACAAAAGAAATTCTGGGGAATAATCAAATCGGAACATGTTGTCATCATCTTCCACATAATTCTCATTCAGGAGGGTGTACAGTTCTTTCAGCTGTAGAGAAAGAAGGAGGTGCCTTGGAGGTATTCTGCAATATACCCGGGGACCAACTCTGGTACCCTGGGGCTCCAAGCTTTTCAGAAAGACAAGGCAAAACACCAAAAATTCTATTTACTCTCACAAACCCTTTGCACCCATGCATGGCAGGGGCTCTTTTGGAGTAAGCACCCTAGTTATAACAGGAAACTGAGCTACCAAGGGGTGGAGGGGTGGACTTAACTACATAAAGTGGCAGACCAAGAATGTCATCCAACTAACCAACCACTCCATCTTTAGGACAAGGGAATGAATGAAGGGATGAACAAGAATGATGAAAGCATGAAAAAAGAGTATCCACTTTGGGGCACTGCAGAGGTTAATTTTCAACCTGCCAGAAAAGCTGAGTTCTATTTATGTGAAGTCTTGGGCAGGCCCCAGAGGCAACAGATGGGGGTCTGCCCCGACCTGCTTGGCTCAGATCTCAAGAGTCCTTGAGGAAGGCTTAAGAAGCTGTCTTGGTATGACTACAGGGCTCACTATGAAAGAGGTGCCAGTGCGCAGCTGTGGCCTGCCCAGGTCTACTCACCACACCCCGGTCCCCCAGGTCCAAGGCGTCCCAGGTGAAGCCCTGGGGCAGGGTGTAGGGCTCCTGGCGGATGTTGTCTTTGTCAGGCTCCACGGGACCGTGAGTGTTCACCACTTCTCCTGGAAGAAGAGCACAGCCATGAGCCTCACCCTGTGACTCCTGGGGGAGGGAAGGGATTCAGCTCAAAAATCAACCACAGCAACCCCTGCTGTCCCTAGGAGCCCTCCATCTGATGAACACTCTGTGCTTGGCAATTACTGACCATCTCTCCAGCTACCCTTGGCCCCTAAATGAGGGCCAATTCACAGCAAAACTTCAGAACAATCACTGGGATCCAAGGTGGTTGGTTTTTTGGAAATCCTTTTAAATCTCCCTTTGGTTACTGAATGACAAACATTTATCTTGACTAATTTGGCTTCCTGCCTCCTGGTTGCCGTAGAGTGCTGTCATGGCCCTGGCCCAGGCCCATCGACCTGGATGGATTTTTAAGAAGCTACAACAGGGCTGCTTTTGTGTCAACAGCAACAACAATGTACTGGGCCTATTCCTCAACCAGATGATGGCATCTAGGCGCCAGGCTCAATCTTGGCCCTGCCAGCCTTAACTTTCAGCAACATGGGCCACTTAACTGCTGCTGCCAACTCAGGCCCTCAGTGTTTAGAGTCCTGACAGCGCCTTTAGGCTGAATCACTGAGTCTACGTAATGCTGCCAGGAAGCTACCCTCTGATACAACATCCCCACCCTGGACAGACCCTCTCCTCTGGGGAGTGTGCAGGGAGTGCCTGGGGGTGTTCAGAAGATACAGCCTCAATTCCCACCCACAGCCAAACTGGACTCATCTGATAAACTTGGACAAATCAATCACTTTATTTTGACCCTTGGATTATTTAGTTTCTATAATTCAGAGTTCATTCATGTTCACACTTAGAAGAATACAATGTTTACTACATTTTGAAAATGGAGTCTTCAAAAGGGACCCACTTAGTACACTGTTTCTAGCAAAGGGCTCTGTACACACTAGGCACTCAATTCATGCTTTTACTGATTTTCAGACTCCTGGCCCAAATACGTCATTCTAATGTGTAACAGGTAGCTCTAGACCCCCAGTAACAGATCCGTGGGGCAGATGCAGTGGAAATGGCTACATCAGCCTATGAGCTGAAGACAACACTGTCAGGACTGATCACCTAACTTTCTTTCACTCAACACTTTTACTGAACACCAACCGTGTGTCAGACATCATGCACTAGGAAAAAGCAGGAAAAAGACAAGGTCCCTGTCCCCACAAGATGTACCATCTTCTGGAGAAATATTCAAGAAATGACACATTACCAATGTGCTAAGGGTCACAAACTGGAAAGTGCAGGCAACAATAGGGACACTCAGCAGGGAAACTTCTGGCTACTTCCTATTTATAATCTGGCTCCCAAACAGGTTTGCTAGGGAGAAGTTATATTTTTCTTTCCTAGTTTAGAAACTGGCCTGTTGATTTAGTCATAAAGTAGCCCTTGTGAATTAGTTTAATATAAGTCAATCTACTTCCAATTCACTGCCATGTATAATTTTTTGAGCCTACAAGGCAGAGGGCCAGACCTTTGGAAAGTACTAAGGATTCCCACTCTAGTCCTGTCTAGGTGCTAGGCAATTTTCCCTGTCTTGTTTTGAATTTATACCTTTTCCAAAATACATTTTTTAACTTCAGAACCTTTTTATTTAATTTTTTTTCCCTAAATGATTTCCATGGACAAGATACTGGTGGTCTTCCACACTGTATTACAATAACCTCAAGGCCAAATCTTTTCAGTCAGGCTGGTTACTACGTCCTGCATGCAACAAGCATTTCCATTCACGCCTTCACGGAATCCTAGAATGTGCCAGTTCTATGGCAGGAGCTGGTGAATGAAATGGACACAGGTCCCCATCATCATGGGCACCAAACAGACAAGCAAGCAGGGACCTGCCACCCAGCATGATGACAGCCCACAACAATGAAGTATGGGGTGCTACAGGACCTGCGGGGGGCAGGGAGGGCATGTCAGGAAAGACCTCTCAGAGGAAATATCTACAACTGCGACCTCAAGAATAATTAGGAATTAGGCGGGGGGTGGACTGCGTGGGACAGGGAGGGCGTGTGCACAGAGGGAACAGTATACGTAAAGGCCTGGAGATGAAGGAGGGGAACTGAAAGTAGGAGATGAGGCTGCAGAGGAAAGCTGGGAACTGTCCTGGAGGGCCTTACGAGCTACTACAGAGGCTGGACTTTACCCTTAGACCCACGGGACATCCTGAACAGGTTTTTAAGGGGTGGAGGAGGGAGGAATGCCATCTTTAGATCTGCATTTTACAAAAAGCACTGAGTAAGTGCTTGTCAAGTGTCAATACTGAGTGAACCTTTATAGACTATTCCAATGGTAAGTCTTAATCTATCTTTTGATAAACCAGCTCTCATAGGTTATCTCAAGGCTGTTTGGTATCTGTAAGACATAGCAGACAAAGCAGAGTTTTAGGAAACACTGAGAAAGCAGAAGCTACTTCAGACCTGCAGTGTGGGGCACCAGTGAAACTGAGAAGTGGCCCAAGGCTCCTGCACTGTCCCCCTGCCAGTGCCTAGCACCATGGCTTCTGCCTGTGAGGAGTAGCCTGCCCTCCACCTCCTAGCAGCTCCTGAGCGCCTCTTGTGGTGTAGGTGTCGGGGCCCCCACAGAGCACTGCAGGAATGCAGCCAATTATCTCCAGGCCACAGAGAACCAATGAACCACTGAGGAGGACACTGAGAACTTATTTATTTATTTTTTGGGGGAGGAAGATCAGCCCTGAGCTAACATCCATGACAATCTTCCCCCCCCTTTTTTTTTGCTGAGGAAGACTGGCCCTTGGCTAACATCTGTGCCTATCTTCCTCTACTTTATATGGGACGCCGCCACAGCATGGCCTAACAACCAGTGCCTCGGTGCGCGCCCGGGATCCGAACCCGGGCCGCCAGCAGCGGAGTGCGCGCACTTAACCGCTACGCCATGGGGCCAGCCCCCGACACTGAGAACTTTAAAAGAAAGTTCTTTCTGGACTTTTAATGGGTTTCTTGCTGTATAGTCTTCCCCCAGATTCTCTCTCTGCCTTCCAACATCCAAGATCCAAAACCAAGCACCACAGTGCAAATGTGAAGGACTTAGGAGAAAAGAACATCTGAGATTTGGAAGACCGTAAACCACACAAGCAGGCCAAGGGTGAGGGTTAAAGTGGGGAAGCTTCTCTCTGAGAGCCCAGAGCAACCAAGTACAAGTCCACACTCTCCCTTTGGTGGTTCCTTCTTTACACTCATCTGAGAACGGCCAGATTCCAACCTGCTGAGGTCAGTCAAAAATAAAAAAAAAAGGATTCTGCACCCCTGTACTAGAGTGGGAAAATGACTTTTAAAAAGCAGAATGACAGGATCTGAAAGGGAGATCAAAGTTTATCTGGGAGCACACAGAACTGTTAAATAGTCTAAAACACTTGCTGTTTAGAAGGCTTTTCAATGGTGAACTTAGGATGACTTTAAACTACTAAAGAATTCTACGTCTCTTTAGTGGAACACAATGTAATTACGACTCTCCCAAGGTGGGGAGTGCTGTAACCGCGTACACTTGGCATGCACGAGTTTTACAATCATTAGCCCTCACTTGAGTGGAAAAAATTAAGGCAAGAAGCTATAAATTGCATTACCCTAAGGAAACTCCGAAGGAGAACTAGGGTGACACCTCAGCCACACGGATCAATCAATGCCTGTAATGTGGTACTTTCTATAGGCTGACTCACGGACACAAAGGAATCCTTCATTTGGGCTTGACTGACCACAGATCTGAAAGGCAGACTGGTCAGATGCTCAGAGCGACTGCTCTCCCAGAGCCCCACACCAGACGCTGCACAGAAGGCACGGCCAGAAGAAACAGAACTGAGCTTCGTTCCACCTTCCTGAGAGCGTCAGGGCCCCTGTGAGCAACTGTGGCTTTCTCATGAACCTTCTGAGAATGAAACTGGAGCACTTTCTACATTTACAGGTGGAGAAACTGAGGCAAACAACAAAGAATAACTGGACTGAAGAGGAACAGAAGCCCATTAATCCCAATTCGCCTCTTCACCAGGTCCCACTATCTATGAATGGAGCTAAGTTACCCATTTGCAAATGCCTGATGAAAAATCAAATCAAACCAAAACCCCATCTGAAAACTGAGCCAAGATGCCTGGCAGCCACAAAATGCCTCTTCATGCATTTCACTCAGAGGCAGAGTGTGTGGCTCTCTGCATTCTTCCTGCTCCTTGCGGGGGAGTGGTCACTGGGACCCACCCCAGTGTTACTGTGACTCAAAGCCTTGCTGGAGGGCTTAGCCACCGGGCCTGGGACCTGATTGACCTGGGGAGCCCGACAGACAAGGTGGATGGGTCGGGGCAGGGATCTGGAATAGTGCCTGCTGCCGATCCACTACTCATAATCATCCAGGCTGTGCTTTGCTTTTCACCCCATGTAGGCACAACTCAGCTTGCTTCTAGATTGTGACTAAGCTGTCCAAGAACTGCATATGCTCTAGAACAGAGCTTCTCAAACTTTCAAAGTGGCCACAAATCCGATTCTGCAAGTCTGGAGTAGGGCCTGAGATTCTGCTTAAGCACTTAAACAATGCCCATCCTACTGGTCTAAGGGGTACCCTTTGAGTAGCAGGGCTCTGTACTGCTGACTCTCCACCTTTGAGCAGATGATTCTCCTTGTCACAGCTGGCCCCTCCTCCCCACCAAACATACTGTGAAGTCTCACTGCGTTTCTGGAGGGGAGCAGTAACATGGGCAACCTGAAGATCATGTACTTTGGCGTTGGAACATGTTTTTTTCCATATACTTACTTTCCCAGTCATGTAGAAAACAGGAATTGGGCTATCAATGGGCCCAGAATCACGAGGCAACCACTCCAGAAACTTTCTGTCAACGGCAACCTCTGAAGTTAGCCATCAAGGTTAACTGTGGCTCAGTCTCAGTAGACATCTCTAACTCTATGTCCAGTCTTTTCTGGAATCCTTTGAGATTTTCTGCCTGTCCCACTCCTTTAATAGTTCATTACAGCTTTTTGAGGGGGTGCAGACCAAACCTGCATACAGTATTCCAGGCGTTGAACCATCACTGTTAAATTACCTTGCTTTTAGTAAGCATGCATTGGCTGAGAGGCAAGGGGAAAAGGCTGGGGATTTGGCCCATTCCAGGATTAAACATTTGCCCTGATAAACAAGGCAAATGACAGTTTTCTCTATAAAATCTATGTGGGAGATAGACCCATCCCCACTCATCATGTGCCAATGTATTGTTTTTCTTTGTAGATTTATATTGGATGATAATGGACTAAGAGAATCATTATTTGTTCTCAATGTGTGCTACTATGAAACAATAAGTTCCCTGAGCAATAGTCTTTTCTATACTGCATTTTGAAGACTATCCTCTAAAAATAACCACCAAGGAACTCCAGGACTCTACTGTCTTCCCTCACAAATTCAGCACAGAACCCTTAGCATGGCTAAGGCACATCCCTCACCCTTGCCTGGGGAAGAAAGCACATACATACCCAGTTTGGGGACAGGCTGCGTGTCCCAGAACTGGTAGCTTCGCTTGCTAGCCTCCTCCATGGTTTTGGCAGGTCCCTGGCCCACTGAAAACAGTTCAATGGCCTTCTGTATTTCCTGGATCCTCTCTGCTGGCAAAGAGTTCATCTGGACAAGACAAGTTGGAGAGAGAAAAGGCTCATTATGTTAATAAGCACTTTTGATTAATTATAGTTCAAGAGTTAAGGGGTACAACTCAAAGAAGGGGTGTGGTTCCTCTGTCCTAATCCCAGAGGTCACATATTGGACGCCAACTGGAGAAAAAGTGCGTGATGATGAGCTACACGGCGAGTGGGTGCTTCCTACAGGGTTCCTCTTTCTTAATCTTTTGATGTTTGACAGCAAAAGTAATACATTCAGTGTAAAATTTCAAACAATGCAGAAATGTATAATATGTACAGTAAAAACCCAACAACCTCATCCCTCAAATATAATCCTCGTCATCAACAGTCTTAATTTCGGAGGTAGGACGAGAAGAGGCAAATATAATTGCAGATTTTTTTGGATGCAAGTTCTAAACACACACAAAATTTTCAAAAACTAAAACTGGATTGTATAGTATTATTCTACAAGCTGTTCTTCTTTAAACATTATGTCTTAGAGACCTTTCCATGTGGACACACAGACCTGCCCATTCTAACAACTGAGTCCACTTTGTGCACGGACCACAACATATTTAGCCAACCCCCTACCAAGGGGCATTTTGGTGGTTTTGTTCTCTTCAGTTTTACAAACAATGCTGTAATGAACGTTCTTGTACACCTATTTTTGCTCACTGGGATACGTATTTCTGTACAATAAAGTCTAAGAAAAGAGGCTTTCTAGGTCAAAGAATATGCACATTTGAAACTATAATATATAGGGCTGGCCCTGTGGCTTAGCGGTTAAGTGCGCATGCTCCGCTACTGGTGGCCCGGGTTCGGATCCCAGGCGCGCACCGACGCACCGCTTCTCCGGCCATGCTGAGGCCGTGTCCCACATACAGCAACTAGAAGGATGTGCAACTATGACAACTATCTACTGGGGCTTTGGGGGGGGGGAAAAAGAGGAGGAGGATTGGCAATAGATGTTAGCTCAGAGCTGGTCTTCCTCAGCAAAAAGAGGAGGATTAGCACGGGTGTTAGCTCAGGGCTGATCTTTCTCACAAAAAAAAAAAAGAAAGAAAGAAACTATAATATATATTATCAACTTGCTCTCTAAAAAGAGAGTATCAATTAATGATGCAATGAACAGTGTATGAGAGCATGTTTCTCCACACCCTCATCATTGGATTTACCAAATCTTAATCTCTGCCAAATTAGGAGACAAAAAATATTGCTTTAATTTTCATTTCTTTCACTGTGAGTTTAACTATCTTTTCATATGATTGAACATTTATTGTTTTGTGAACTGCCTACTCATTTTATTATTTAAATTGACTGATTCACATATTGCAAATATTTTCCCAGTTTGTTGTTTATCTTTTTGACTTCTACAGAGAAGTTTTAAATTGTCAATTTAAAAAAATTGTCAGTTTTTCTTTTATGGCTTCTGGGTCTTATGTCAGGCTTAAGATGATAAAAATACATAATTTCTTCTAATACTTTTACTTTATGACTTCTCCTTTTTCATTTAAATTTTTTTTTTTTTCCTTCCCCCAAAGCCCCAGTAGATAGTTGTATGTCACAGATGCACATCCTTCTAGTTGCTGTACGTGGGACGCGGCCTCAGCATGGCCGGAGAAGCGGTGTGTCGGTGAGCGCCCAGGATCCGAACCCAGGCCGCCAGCAGTGGAGCGCACGCACTTAACCGCTAAGCCACGGGGCCGGCCCTCTCCTTTTTCATTTAGGTTGTGAAGGAAAAGAAGAATATAAACCAATATGTTTACATTGCTTATTCCTGGGAGGTAGGACAAGTTAATTTTCTTCCTCTTACTATGTTTTTTTCCCTAAATTCTCTACAATGAACTGCAATACTCTCATAATGAGAAAAATGGAAGGAGTACGTAAATGGTGTTTTGTTAAAATTTTCTAATTTCAAGGTGAACCATTTTGATATAGGCTTGCTCTCAAATCCCCCTGCGGTCATTCAAACACCTACTTTCAGACAGACAGACAGACAGACAGACAAACTAACATCCCTAAAGCCAAGCATGGGCTTAGGCTAGAATTCCCAACTGAAAGACTTGGCTAATCCACCTCTCTCATCTTGCCAATGGGAAGACCCCCACCTACCTTGTAGGGATGCTGAAGGTTTGGGGTTAATTTAAATGAAGTGCCTGGCAAGAGCCTAGCCAACATGGTGGTCAATAATGGTGGTATTTTTTTCACAGTGGGTTTCATATTGAAAATAGTAAAAAATTACTTGACACCATATCTCAATAAGGTAGGAGATTCAAGTTCCAGCACAACATCTGAGGCATAAAGCCAAGTGTGGGCATACTGGAATGAGACCGGATTTCTTAGGAGGCTTATAAACTGTTTTGGAGACAATTCTAAAAGAGGAATTACGGATATGTTTTGAGCTTCCCCCAGGGCCTACTTTGAAGAGGACAGCACTTACCTGAAAGAAAAGGTTTTCTTTTTTTTAATGTTTTATTTATGACACAAAACAATCCTTACCCATACCTCTGGGTTTCATGTCAGTGTGTCAGTCTTGGGTCATAAGCTCTACGCCAGTGGTTCTCAACCATAGAACTCAGAAGTTGACTCTGTGGGACTCGTGGTTTTCATTACAATGACCAGGGAATTAAG